TACACTGGCCCAAAAAGCTGAACTGATCACGCTTACCAAAGCCCTAAAGATGGGTAAAGGAAAGAGACTCAACGTCTACACAGATACGCATTTGCCACTGCCCATATCCATGGGGCCACCTATCAAGAGAGAGGCCTCCTTACTGCAGAGGGAAAGACTATTAAAAATAAACGAGATCTTAGACCTCCTGCAAGCCCTCTGGGACCCAACAAAACTAGCTATAATCCACTGCCCAGGTCACCAAGAAGGAAACAACCCCACCCAGAAGGGAAATAATCTGGCTGACAGGACAGCTAAAGAAATCACCCTGACTTCCACGATCCTGCCCATTCTTGTTGGTCCCGGAGCAAGGGAACTGCCTAAAACTCCCCACTATAGCCCCGAGGACTTAGCCTGGATACACACTCTCCCTATGACTCAATGCCTAGAGGGCTGGTGGAGGACAATGGATGGAAAAGTTATCCTACCTCAGAATTTAGGCGTAAGATTGCTCAAGAAAATACATCGAGCATCACACATGGGCACCCAAAGGATGCAAGACTTACTAAGAAGGGTCAAAGTTAAAATTCAGGAAGGAAATCAAGCCATTGAAAAAATTGTTAGGCATTGTCATGCCTTCCAATTAACCAACTCAGCTTCGTTCCATACTAACCCAGGATCCCAGAGCAGAGGGACACGACTGGGTATGTATTGGGAGACTGATTTCACTGAGATCAAACAGGGAAAATTTGGATATAAATATTTACTAGTATTCATAGACACCTTCTCTGGATGGACTGAGGCCTACCCAACCAAGCATGAGACTGCTCACGTGGAAGCCAAGAAGCTAATCAAAGAGATCCTGTCCAGGTATGGTTTCCCAACTACAATCAGATCAGATAATGGGCTAGCCTTTGTCTCTCAGGTAAGCCAGGGAATAGCCACTGCACTGGGGGCCAATTGGAAACTACATTGTGCTTATAGACCCCAGAGTTCAGGACAGGTAGAAAGAATGAATAGAACTCTAAAAGAGACCTTAACCAAATTAGCTTTAGAGACTGGCGCAGACTGGGTGGCTCTCCTCCCCTTTGCCCTTTTTTAGAGTAAGAAACACTCCATACCCGATGGGTTTGACCCCCTTTGAAATCATGTATGGAAACCCACCTCCTATGGTACCTAGCCTCCAAGCTGACCTAGTATCGGCCTTGGGAGACCAGGACCTACTGGTCTCAGTCCAATGGTTGCAGCTAACCCACCAACGGGTCTGACCGCAACTCAGAGCCATATATGAAGCTGCTGTTCCCCCGCAGCCCCACAGGTTTAAACCGGGTGACTGGGCCTTCATCCACAGACACCAATGGAAAAATCTCGAGCCAAGATGGAAGTGCCCCTTCATGATCCTCTTGACAACTCCCACCGCACTCAAAGTGGATGGCATCGTGGCTTGGGTGCACTACTCCCACGTAAAACCTGCCGACCTGTTTGCAGTCCCAGAGGATTACAAGGGAGACACCTGGAAGGCATCCCCACACCCTTCGAATCCATTCAAGCTCTGCATCCGATGAGACCCTTCCTGCTAACCTGTCTCTTGTTGACATTGAGCTGCTTATCAGCTGATGGCACCTTTCCTGCAAGTAACATGAACCCCCATATGCCCAAAAACTTAACTTGAGTAATCACCAACCCCGCCATGGGCACAGTCATCAACTCTATGTCCAAGGCAGCCTCTCCCAACACTTGGTACCCTGACCTTTGGGTTGACCTCTGTGACATCTTTGAAGGAGAATGGGAACCTCACAACCAGACCCCCTTTCCTCCCTTTGGCTGCTGAGACCCCGGCCCCAGATCACGCATGCAAAGCCTCACCATCTACGTTTGTACTGGCCACAGACACAGCAGACAAGATAAGAACAAATGTGGGGGACCTGGGGATTATTATTGTGCTGACTGGGGCTGTGAGACCACCGGCACATACTGGTGGAAAGGGTCATCAACTGGGGATCTAATAACCCTACAATGGGCCCCCAGATATACCACCCTGGGATGGGGAGGGACTGCTGGATGAAGTATGGGGGGGCCCTGTGCCCAACCACAGTGCAACCCCCTCATAATTCGGTTCACTGAGAAAGGAAAACAGTCTATGGGGTGGGATGTAGGACACACATGGGGCCTACGGCTATATGCTGCAGGGAGAGACCCTGGAGCCCTCTTTACCATTCAACTCCTACTCTGACCGGTCATCCATGAACTGGGACCCAAACGAGTCCTAAATCCCCCCCAGATGATTCTCACAAATCTTCTCCAGCTAAACCCCTTCCCAGACCACCCACTGCCCAAACCTAT